CCTCCTGCTCTGCCCAGGGGAGAAGGGGGACCGTGGCGAGCGCGGCATCCAGGGCAAGTTTGGCAAGACAGGGGTGGCCGGCAGCAGGGGCCACGCGGGGCCCAAGGGACAGAAGGGCAGCGTGGGCGCCCCGGGGGAGCGCTGCAAGAACCACTACGCCGCCTTCTCAGTGGGCCGCAAGAAACCCCTGCACAGCAATGACTACTACCAGACCCTCATCTTCGACACGGAGTTTGTCAACCTCTACAGCCACTTCAACATGTTCACGGGCAAGTTTTACTGCTATGTCCCTGGGATCTACTACTTCAGCCTCAATGTGCACACCTGGAACCAGAAGGAGACATACCTGCACATCATGCACAATGGGGCAGAGGTGGTGATCCTCTACGCCCAGGTGAGTGACCGCAGCATCATGCAGAGCCAGAGCGTCATGCTGGAGTTGCAGGAGCAGGACGAGGTCTGGGTGCGGCTCTACAAGGGCGAGCGTGAGAATGCCGTCTTCAGCGATGAGTATGACACTTACATCACCTTCACTGGCCACCTCATCAAGTACAGTGGAGACCCCTGAACACCAGCTCCCCCCCCCATTCCTCGTACACTGGGCCGGGTGGCCTAGGAGCCCCTGTGCCCTCTCATCCTGGGCACGCCACCCCCAATATGCTGTTATCCACCCACCTTACTGCCACTACCCTCAGCAGCTGCCTCAATGTGTGAATTCCCCCACTCCAGCTTCTTGAGACCGATCAGACACACCTGGAGGAGTTGGAGCCATTTCCAGCCCCTGCCACATTTGTGACTGGGAAGCAGCTGCTCACCTGGGGTGGGCAGGGAGCTCTTTCCCTGCCCCCCACACCTGCTCCATAGCTGGGTTTGCTGGGCACAGCCCACTGTGGCACCGGCTGAGCTGGTGGCACCAGGGGAACAGTGTGACTGTTTGTGCCCTGGTGCAAGCCAGCTCAGACACGTGCACCATGTTCCTCCTCCATGCACCATGCTGTGTTCCCTGCCTTGAATGGGCAGAAGGTGCTCAGCGCCATCAGGAAAGGCAATAAACCACTAAGGGCCCCTTTTCTTTCTGCAGAGCTGGGGGCCAGTGGGGTGGGCGTTGCATACCCTTGGTGGGAACAGATTGTGTCAGTTCCCTCTGCGGGTCCCGTCACTGCTCACCACAGCCTCTGCCTGGGAGGGGCTGGCTCCCCACCGGCAGCCCTGAGCACAGAGCCTTTGGCCTCAGCCACTTCCTCTTCCGTTAGATTATCTGCTGGCCAGGCTTCTTGTTTGTGTAGATGCCGCAACGGCGTGGGGCAGCATTCTGACCCCTCTGTATAGCTCGTGCTACATTAAACACCCCACATTTCCAGCCTTGCTCACACCCTCAGTTTCCTCTTGCTTTGTATGTTTGGAGGCTCCAAAGGGCTCCCAACGTTTCTGTTCCTGGCGTGCTGGGACTTCCCCAGAGCCATGGGCTGGTACAGCGCTGTCGAGCTGGGAGTGGAGAGGGAAGTTTAGATTGTCCCTGGAGAGGCAGGGGTCCTGTCCTGGGTCTGCAGGAGGGCCAGATGCGTCCTGAGGGCTGGGAGCTCAGCACAGTGACAGAACTGCCAGCCTGGGAACAGGGCAGGCTGGGGAGGGCCGTCAAGAGTCCAGGTCATCCGGCACATCCCCAGAGAAGAGGCAGGTCTGAGGTGAAGCTGGGGGTCAGGGTCTGGAATGGTAGGTCCGTGGCTGGGCTGAGCAGGGCTGCAGCTGGAGACCAGCATCCCAAACACACCAGAGAAAAGATGAGGGGCTCAGGCTGAACTTAAATAGAGTCCTGGCCCCACAGGTGGGGAGGTAGGGGATGGAGGATGTCCAGGTGAGGCTGGTCAGGGCATCCACTGCTGTGCCTGTGTGGCGTGGGCAGCAACCCAGGTCCCCAGCCTAGTCCCATGGCAGGGCCAAAGCCTCCTGGCAGCACCAGCCCCTCAGGACCAGGTACCATTTCCATTCCAGTCTGCACAGCTGGGCCTGCTCTGGGATACAGGTTGCATCCCAGCACACAGATCCTATCCTGGGACACATGTTCTATTGCGGGACATGCATCCCATCCCAGTACAGATGTCTCATCCTAGGAGACACATCCCCATCCTGGGATGCATGGCCCCTTATCCCAGCACACTTGTGCCATCCCAGGTCACATGTCCCATCCCAGAACACAGAGTCCATCCCGAGACATGTGGTTCCATCCCAGGACATGCATCCCATCCCAGGACTCATGTTCTATCCCAGCATACATGTCCCATCCCAGGACACGCGTCCCTTTTCCGGGACTGGCGGTGCATCCCAGGACACGTCCCGCCCCGGGACACGCAGGGGCGGGCGGTGCCGGGGGCGGTGCGGGGCCGGGGGCGGTGCGGGGCCGGGGGCGGTGCGGGGCCGGGGGCGGTGCGGGGCCGCTGAGGGCGGAGCTGCGGGGCCGCGCCCCCGGGAAAGCCGGGCCCGGTGGCGGCCACGCCGTCAGTGCGGCGGCGGCGGCGGCAGCAGCGCCATGGCGGAGGCGCCGGAGGGGCCCGGGAGGCGCGGGAAGAGGACGGGAACCGAGGCCGGGGCAGAGGAGCCGGCCGAGGCGGAGCGGGCCGGGCGGCGGCGGAGGAGGTGGATGGCGGGGGCCGGGGTGGCGATCGGGACCGGGGTCGGTGCTGTGATCAAGACTGGGACCCAGACCGGGGCCGGGCCGGGGACCGGGATGGGAATCGGAGCCAGGGTGGGGACCGGGACTAGGAGCGGAATGGGGATCAGGACCAGGACCAGGATGGGGATTGGGACTGGGATAGGGGTGGGGACCGGCATGGGGACCAGTGCCCGGGCTCGCGGGGCCCAGGAGGGCGCTGACCGCGGTGCTGGTCCGACCCGGCACTCACCCCCATCCCGGGGCAGCTTCCAGCCGGCGGCGGAGACCCGGGGAACCACCGTCCTGCACGACACCATCAATGACCGCCCGCAGCCCCTGCCAGGTGAGGCACCGTGAGAGGGGCCCGCTGCACCGCTGGGGCCCTGCCGGGATGGTGCCGGTGCCGAGCTGCACAGGCAGTGCTCCCTGCTGACCCTGTCCCCTGTCTCCCCACCGTCCCCAGCGAGGTACTTCGACACAAAGACGACGGAACCCATCAGCTTCTTCTTGTCCGGCCTGGAGGAGCTGCTGGCTTGGCAGCCCAACAGCAATGACGACTTCAACATCTCGGCCGTGCCGCTGGCCAAGCGCCAGCCCCCACTCCACAGCAGGAGGCCCCGGACGCTGGTGTGCCATGACATGCGTGGCGGGTACCTGGAGGACAGGTACACACTGGGTGGAGGGCAGATGTTGCAGCAGGGCTTGATTTTTCAAATCCCAAACCAGTTCTGTTTCTGGATGATGTGTTTCCTTCCGGCTCAGCCACAGGTGGGCAGGGATGGGGCATTTGGCTCTTGGTGCCAGTGCTCGGCAGCCTTGCTCGGGCTGGGATGTTCAGGGCTGGCTCAGTGCCACAGCTGTACGCAGCTCTAAGTGTGAGTCAGGCTCCTACCCAGCCCCACAGCATCCGACAGCGTCCTTCCTGCACTGCCCAACCCTCTTCCCTCTCTGCAGGTTCATCCAGGGCTCGGCCACACGCAACCCCTACGTTTTCTACCACTGGCGCTACATCGACATCTTCGTCTACTTCAGCCACCACAATGTCACCATCCCACCCGTGGTCTGGACCAACGCAGCGCACCGGAACGGTGTCCCTGTGCTGGGTGAGGGCAGGGCTGAGCCTGGGGCAGCCCCAGGCACGCAGTGGGTTCACTGGGGTGTGTGGCTGACACTGCCCTTGCCGTCTCCCCAGGCACGTTCATCACGGAGTGGACGGACGGGGAGAAGCTGTGTGAGGCGTTCCTGGCCGGCGGGGAGGAGGCTTACGGAGCTGTGGCCGAGCAGCTCGCCCGCATCGCCCAGCACTACCGCTTCGATGGCTGGCTGGTCAACATAGAGAACACGCTGAGCGTAAGCCATGATGGCCCTGCTCACCTCCCTGCCTTCCCCCTGCTCACCTCCCTGCCTTCCCCCTGCTCACC